CGGCGCTGCGGGACCAACCCAGCAGCACCCCAGCTGCTCTGCCCCAGGCGTTTCAGCCGCTGTTGAAACTGATCAGTTTCAGCAGCGGCTGAATCTGGACGCCAGTTCCGACTTACATACAGATTCAACTTAAGAACAAACCTACAGTCCCTATCTTGTACGTAACCCGGGGACTGCCTGTACTAAAATTTGTCCTTCATAGCCAATGCATGTAAACTTGATAATTATATTGGTGAGTAATTTTTAATTTATAAACAAATCTTTTTAATAGCTTTGAAATAGTGCCAGCTAGAAGACTAATGGATGCTACAGTTTATGAGGTAGCATGTCAGGGGTTCTGAGGTCTATAGGATCTTAAATCTTCTTCATTGAGCTTGATGGAGATAGCTATAAAGTGTAATGGCTGAAAAAATTAGTGTTGTCCCCTGGTAGCTGTAGTCATGAATCACTGTATTATTTTCAGTGGCGCTGCTTGGTTAGTTTTGTGGTATTTCAGTCTGCTTTTACTTAAATATACATTGTGTTTGCTGAAACAACATAAAATAAAGTATAAATTAAAGCACGTTTGCCTTTACACAATACATTATAAGCAATTTAAAAGATTTTATGTTTGGGAATATTTTTGTGGCAATATTAAGCTAATAATGAAAACAGAAAAATGCAGAACTAAGGTAAAAACTGTGCTCTTGGTACACATTACTTCCAGGATCTCCAAAGATGAATGATTTCATTTATTATATGGTATAGTACTTTGGCATATTAGTGTGATTTAAGAACATTTCAGACTTAAAGATGTACTACACAACTTTAAAAGTAAATATTAAATTTTAAGATTCCAAATCAATAATAATTGTGTGTGTGTGTGTGTGTGTGTGTGTGTGTGTGTGTGTGTGGAGCTCTGTGTAGGCAGGCCTTTGGGGATCTATGTGTGGCCCACAAGACATTTTATTTATTGTTCACCATATGCAGGGTTGCCAGATTCCGCTGGTGTCCATTCATGTATCTTTTTTTCTTACTGGTGTTATCAAAATGACGTACACTTAAATCAAGGGCACACCCCACATATTCTAGTATATAAGATAGGAATGTTAAAATGCATTTAATTATGTAATCATGTTACATGCAGGGGTTGGGGAAGGCGGATCCCTCCTGCTGGCCTGAGCTGTTACCTCTATATCAGATATATTTTAAAATAAGATACTTCAAAATCAGTGTTTTCACATTCCTGCAATCATCTGCCAACTTTCCTATAAGCAATACCCTTCTGTGTGTAAAATTCCGCCAATTTGGAACCCGCCAGATCTCTCTAGCTTCTATACTTCATTGTGCTCAGTCTATACTTTGAAATACAGTAAAACTCCAGTTGTCCGGCATCCAGTGGTCCGGCACTCCTGATAGTCCGGCACCACCTGGAACCTGAAAGTGCTCCAGGCAGTCAGACAATTGGCCGAGTCAGCCGCTGGTCAGTTTCAGCAGCAGCTGACTTGGGGACGTGTGGGGCAAAGCAGCTGGGGTGCTGCCGGGTTGGTCCTGCAGCGCTGCCCGCCTATCCCTCCCATCCCACCCCAGATCCCTCATAGCCCCCCCCCTTCTGATAGTCTGGTATATCTGATAATCCGGCACCCCCAGGTCCTAAAGGTTATTGGAAGTTTACTGTACCAGGTAAAATTTAATAAAAATGTTAAGCATCACCTGCAAGGAGACGCTTTTCACATGCCAAAGGAGAAAATATTAATCAATTAAGAGCCCATAAAAATTAGAATAAATAGAAGAAGAAAAGTAGCATTTTGTTTACATTAATGTTTTATTCCTATTATTATTATTATTTATTATTATTATGTGATCAAAAGCCCAAATCTGGTCTAATGTAAATGTATTGTCTGTTGTGCTGCAGAGTACTTGCTGCTCACATATCAGGGTAGAGTTTATTAGGATCTCCTGATTTTTACTGTTTTGTGACCCTACTTATTGTAGAGGAGGTCTGAGTTTGACTCCCCCCAAAGTGTGTCAGCAGCTTTCTGAGGGCACATCTATACTTACTGGAAGATTGACACTCTGGAAGTCGATCTTCTAGCATTTTATTTAGCTTGTCTAGTATACACTTGTGAATTGAATGCTGAGGGCAGCTCCTGCTGGCATCTGGTACTACTCCTTTTGTGAGAAGTACGAGAAGCTGACGCTGCCAAGGCTTAAAGTAAGCCAACTCTAGCTACAAATTTTACGTAGCTGGTGTTGTGTACCTTAAGCCGACCTTCCTTGTCTAGTGTAGACCAGGCCTGAGTGTCTACCAAAGTGAGGCTTTCTTATTTTTGAAGAACCACTGTTTTAGTCAAACATGGGATCAAACTTTGATTCCTTTGCATGCTAGTGTACTTCAATATTTGTAGACTTTAGGATTTGTACAAATGTGATGCCCTCATACTGTAAATAAGCCCTGCCCTAGACAAATCCTCGGGAAATTTCCATACATAGAGCCCTGCACTGATAGTAAATTTGTATCCACATCTGTATCTGTACAAATGAGGTGCGGATGTTCACATTCATATCTGCAGATGTGGATATCCATGGATATATATGCAGATAGCCGCAGATTTGCAGAGTTCTAGATACAAAATTTGTATCCTCATCTGTATCCAAAAAATGAGCTTCGGGCATCCACATCTGCAGATCTAGACCCGCAGATCTAGAACTGATTTACTGATTTGCAGGTCTCTGTCCATACAGTATACTGTATTTTTATTTTAATGCAACAGTGATGACATTGGGTGGATCTGAAGTCCTATAAGTATGCCATAGCTCCCCTTCTCCAAAATCCTCACTCCTAGTTCAGATTCTTATGTAGAGAGAACTCTGAGAAGAATGTGGCTGGGTTTTGTTTCACCATTTTATACATTTGTCAAAGGACCTACTGAGTAAAAGTTCTGTTTATTTTCGTGTTTATTTCTCTCTGTAATTATTGGTTTGGGGTTGCACTTAACTTATGTGGCCTCTAGAGCCAAAATTCTCATAGATGCTGCACTCTGCAACAGCAGAAGGTAAGTGAAAAGGAAGAAATGTTTCAGTGTAAAAAATTACTTCAGATTATAAAAACACAATATAGTGACTCTCATAAGTAATCTTTAGTAACAGCAACTTATGAAGAGCTCACCTTAAAAAAAGACGAGAAAAGGAGTTTAGTAATTGAAGGTACTCTACTTTCTTCATCATTTTTGAATTTGTGTAGTCAAAATAATTTGTGTTTAAAATGTATTATTTATTCATTCTGCTCAGACTATGTTCTGTTACTGATAATATTATAACATTTAAAACATGAAGCATTGTAATTATCTTTAAATCTGAATTTCCTTGTTTTTTGTTTATCAGAATTCTAATGCAGTTTATATCATAAAGATATCAGCCCAGTTTAATTAACCTGAGTAGCTCTAAATTACAAAATATTAGCCGTTGGTACTTTTGATGCAATTTGGTATATCTGAATTGTGCAAAGCAATCAAATTCTGGAATAGTATATGCTAACTGTGAAGTCATTGTTCTTTGATCACAAGGTTTTGTCTACAAAAATAATCAAGTACATTTCAAATAAAAGGAAGCTAGAATGTAATGTTATGTCTTAAATTATAATGTGTCTAGAAATTGTCTTTATACAGGTAAATGGTTGCAGTTTTATGTCAAGAACAGCTATATCAGCAGACTTAATCAGGGTATAGTATTATAAATTATACCGTATTACTAATGTTGAGTACTAAAAACCATAAGCAATTTGTATAGTAATATTTTGGTCAAACAAAACTACCTAGCTTACTAACAAAAATTCTATTCAGTGCTATGCTCTGTTACCTAGCTCTGCTATTGTTTCATGACATCTTAATATACTTAATGTTGCCTCTTAAACTTGTTAAAAAAATTACTCTTTCTAGCATAAAGCCTAGCCTTAATACAGAAGTGTTATGTATCAGTGCTCTTAGCTTATAAATTACGCCAATAAAGCAGGTTACCATGGCAATAAGCTCCTAAATGCTGTGTTGTATTTCAATGTTCTAATGTGGTATTAGAGAATTCAAAATTTGACTCTGCTCACTTTGAGGAAATACATGAGTGTTGGGTTGTTAAGGAACTTGGATTGATCTAGGAAGAAGAATTTGGAGTTGGAGAGACTTATTCTGAACATGAAATGCAGCACTCTCAGACACGACTGGAGAACGAATTGGCTGGAAAACAACAAGAGATTGAAGAGCTAAACAGAGAAATTGAAGAAATGAGGGCAGCATATGGTACGGAAGGATTGCAACAGGTATAATTACCTTGTGTTGCTGACTGCCTTTTGGTTACACACAAAATGTCGAGTATCACCTGGAAGTGTTTATGCTTAAAGAGAGTCAGAGAATGTGGAATACAGAATTTTGTTTAGTTCCAGAGAGAATGAGTTTTCATCAGGATGTATCATCTTTATTTGAAAGGAAGTTCCAGCATGTTTCCCCTTTATTTTTACTCTCTGGACATTTTTACTCTATGCTTAGGTATTGCAGTGCTGGTTGGGAAAGTGGATACATGGGCTTCCTCAAGACAAACTCTAATTCTTCCTATTTAATTGTCCAATGGCATTTCTCCTTGCTCCTCAGAGACCAAGTAGACTAGAGTATTAAGTTCCACCTATCAAAGAAGTGAGATTCCTGAGGTAGTTACTAACCCAGGAGGTCATTTGTCTGTCTGTGTTTATAGACAGACAGACAAGCCAACTGGGTGAACATATTCTAAGAACCTTTTCTCAATTTAGGGTTAAACGAGATGTTTCTTACATTAAAACCTGAGCCTCTGTTTTAACAATCCCTGTAATATTGGGAACATTACATCAAATTCTGCCCTGATGTAAGCAGGTGGTACCCCTGTTAAAGTAATTATGGTTTGTTTGTTTGTTTTTTAGCATACATCACACTGATTTTGGACCATTGCTGAAATTTAATGTATACTTGTATTTTTCATGGTCTATATTTCATTTCACATTTGTCTCTTTTAGTTGACCTTTTGTTGATTTGAATACTGCATGTGTGTTCGTATGTTTTGCCTTGTTTTCCACTGTAGATAGCATTCTGTTGTTGAATCATGGTTTACAAAAATGTTTTAAATTAATCATCTTAATTGTATTCATTCCTGTGGGATTTTTTTGTTTAAGATTTCATTTTATTTTATTTTAGCACATCTGTGAAAAGGAATAGGTAATTTTCTGGTGAAATGTAGAGATCTTTCTAAGTAGCATTACCTGTAATTTTAAAAATGAGATAAGTTTCCACTGTTCAGTCATTCATTTCATATGAATGATTTGAAAGACCACTTATCTCACATAGTACTGATAAATTATAATTCATACTTATTTTCTGTTTATTGTATCTGGTGCCATTTGTGCTTGATGGATTTTATAAGAGTTATAATTTCTGTTTAGTTTTTGGCAACTGCCAACACTGTACCTTTCAGTGAAAAAAAAAAAAGATAATGAACATATATAAATTTTAAGTTTATAAGACAGTCTTAACTCTGATTTGTTTGGATTTTAAGATGTCCTTTTTATGTGAAATCCTTAAAAGTTTGTAGCACAATAATGCTTATGAATATTTTTCAGTCACACTAAATTATATTTACGGTAGCTTTATAGTGTGCATTATGTCTTAATTGAAAAACAGATATTTTCCTTAACTCCCCTAAGAACCTTTTATTTTCCTAACCTTCAGTCAAGTGGAATGTATTTGTGTCTGTTCTAATTTCAGCTCCCAGTCATGTATTTTACTATTCAAGAAAAAACAAACTGAATAAATAAAAACATATTTTTAAAATAGATTGGATAATAGTGTTGAGCGTCCTTAAGAATGTTTTAATTTTGCTGAGCATACTTACTGGGCATATATATGTGCAAAGGACGGTATATATAACTGCCCACTGGATGCCTATTTTTGTATTAAGATGGTTGTTCAGCAATTGCATTATCCAGAAAAATGCAGGTGTAAAAAAGAGAAGTAAAAACCTGTTTTAGAGCTATCAGCATGAGATTTGAGGACCCTTAGCGCTTTGCAAGCTCAGGCCCTTAGTAGATTCAGCAGATTATTTTTTTCAAAGTAGTCTGTGGTCAAGGATTATATGAAAAGAAGAGAGGAAGTTTATGTGTTTAAAAACATAAACAAAAACACTTGCTTAACTACCAGCACTAAATAACATCTCATTTAACTATGGGTTAAACCTCAGTTAAAATGTGAGAAAAATACAAAAGCATCATGTAAGGGTTGTACCTCACTTAACTGGAACTCTCTGGTCTGGCAACATCCAGACCACGGATGTTCCTGGACCATAGAGCCCAAGTATAGGGATGCCAGGCCATGGGACAGGAGTTGCGGGAGGGCAGGAGGAGCAATTCAGTCAGGACCCCATGTTGGAGGAGGAGGGCACAGAGGGGCAGCTGACACAGCAGGGCGTCCTGGCCCCGTGGCCGAGCAGTAAGGGGCATGGGGGGCTGGCAGCGGCCACAGAGCTCTGTCTGTGTAGTTTGGGGGCCAGCAGCAGCAGCCAGGGAGCTCTGGTCCCAGTCGCGGAGCTCTGGGCCAACAATGGCAGCTAAGGAGCTCTGACCCCAGGTGCTGAGCTCCAGTTTGAACAGCAGCTAGGGAGCTCTGGCCCTATCTGTGGAGCTCCAGCCCGGGGAGCCAAGGCTGGGCAGGCAGCAATGGGGCCCTTGCTGGGGGCAGCAGCGCAGCAAGGGCCATGTTGTAAGGGACCTCTTTAGTCCAGCAAATACCCTTGTTTGGGACTGGTCAGGTCTCGAGGGTGCCAGATGAGGGAGGTCCAACCTGTATTACTAAACCTTTGTTTTAATGCACACAGGTGAATGTCTAGCTAGGGTTGCCAGATAGTTTCACAAAAAATACCGAACATGGCAGGGAAAAAAATTGGTTGAACAAAAAAACCAAAACAAAATATGGAGACCAAAGTTGTTGAGCCAAAAAAAAAAAACGGGAACCAAAGTTGTTGAGGGGAAAAAAAAGAAAAGAAAATCGCACCAAAAAGTAGAGTCACGGCGCCTTTAAATCCCCACGTTCTCCCTGCTCCCACCAGATATGGCAGGGGAAGAATGTCCCAAGCGGTCTTCTGTCCGACAAAAACAGAAAATACTGGCCATTTTACATGTGCAGTATTTTCTGTTGTTTTTACCGGACAGAAGCCGCAAATGTCAACACTGGATACCTGGCAACCCTAATTCTAGCATTATAAGAAAATTCCATGTAGACACTACTATAGACTCTTTAATGTTAATTTTCTAAATTTAAACTAAACAAAAGCCAGAATTTACTACTTCATTTTGATTTTCTTTTGTCAAAAATAATTTTAAAGTTCAGTCAATCCGGGAAACAAAATGGCTGCTGTTTGTGCTCTGGTTTTCTTACAACTGGTAGATGCTATAATCAGTTTACCAATGATGTAAGTGGCTGCAAAGCCATTGAAGTCAGTGGATTGACTGTCTGCTTTCATGAAATGTAGTTGCTTTTTATTCTTTAGAAGAGACTATAACATTAAATTTACACTATAATACATGAACAGATTAACGATTTAAGGAGCATGTGTATCAACTGAGAGACTGTACATTTTAAGGCTTCTGCCATGTGTAAAAAGAAGAGTTGAAATAAATCAATTAATTGTCAAGTAAACCACAAGAAATTTAACTTGATGCCATTCAGGGCTGCCAATAGAATTGCCAACCCCCTAGGGTGTGTGTGTGTGTGTGTATAGGGAGGCTTGTTTCAACCGGCAGAAGGAAAGGGATCTCTGGCAGAAGAGATGGGGCTGGAGACTAGCCTCTCTGGGGACTACCCCTGTACCACCCAGGGCTCTAGCAATGATTTAAAGGGCCCAGGTCTACCATGGCAGTGGCAGCTGGAATCCCTGGCCCCATTTAAATTGCTAGGCCCTGGGGCAGCTTCCCCTCTCCCTCCTCCCATATTGGGGGCCCCGATGCCAGTTAGTAATACCTGAATTGTACAGATCATGAATTACAAAATATGAAAGGTACTTATAACACTTCTGAAGAAATTTATTTCCATCAACAGTACTTTTGTCCTTTTTTCCTTTCGTTATTATAAGTGTCCATCAAAGCTTTTCTCTGCTATATACCACGTATGAGTCTTGAATGTTTAATCTAATTTTTCCATTATCTTGTGAAATCCCAATTTATTGTACATTCCACACTGATGTCAAGGAATGTTAGGGAACATCTAGTTTAACTTAGTGTCAGATTCTAACTCTTATAAATTTAATCAAGATGCAATATATTGTCAATATAAAGTCCAGATTACATTCTTTAGTTAGGTACCTTATGTGGGGTTCTGGAAATTGTATCAAAATGACTTAATGAAGAATATCCTCTGGATAGATTTAAATTCTTTTGGTACAAAAGTTATTGCTAAAATACTAATGCATAATAAGGTAAGCACTTTTGAGCAGAGATGTCATGCATGAAATACTTTACTTTGTTAAACTCCCATTTTGTGAGAATGATTGAGTATGGTTTTTGAAAATATTTTGACTTGCACTAATTGTTTAAACTTAATCTTCCATAGCTTCAAGAATTTGAGGCTGCTATCAAACAAAGAGATGATATCATCACACAGCTCACTACTAATCTACAGCAAGCACGGAAAGAAAAAGATGAAACACTGAGGGAATTTTTAGAGCTTACTGAACAAAGCCAGAAATTGCAAATTCAGTTTCAGCATGTAAGTGTTTTTGTTAACAATATTTCCTAAGGTTTGATGAAAAAGAGGGTCAATTTGGATAGCACATTCTATGAAGTAGTGTTTCATTTAGAAACAAAATCAGTGTTTTTTTATGTACATTTTTGAAGATTTAGACCCAAAAGTAGGCATGTACAGTGATTAAAAGAGTCAGTATTTGCCAGTAGTTATCACATTGTAGTATTTGGAATATTGCGCTCATTTCTTATGATACATTTGGAAATAAATACAGTTTCACTTCTATTTTGTGATTGCAAATGTTGGTAAAAACTTGCTTTTTAATGGCAATTGCCATAGAAAGGAAAACTTACCTATAATAGCTTTTCCCAAAAGATGAGGGGTGAAATCCTGGCATCTTTGAAATCAATGGCAAAACACCCATTGACTTGATTAGATTCAGGATTTCACCCTAGAGTCTTATTGGTGGTATAGTCTCACTCCTGTTTTCTCTGATAGGGTTGAAGATTATTCCACTGTTCCTTTTTGTGCCATATTTTTATACAGGCAGTCCCCGGGTTATGTACAAGAGAGGGACTGTAGGTTTGTTCTTAAGTTGAATCTGTATGTAAGTCGGAACTGGCGTCCAGATTCAGCCTGTTGAAACTGATCAGCGGCTGATTCCAGGAAACCCGGGGCAGAGCACCTCTGCCTCCGGCTTCCTGTAGTCAGCCGCTGGTCAGTTTCAGCAGTGGCTGAATCTGGACGCCAGTTCCGACTTACATACAGATTCAACTTAAGAACCCCAGGCGTCCCCAAGTCAGCTGCTGCTGAAACTGATCAGCAGCTGATTCCAGGAAGCCCGGGGCAGAGCAACTCTGCCTCCGGCTTCCTGTAGTCAGCCGCTGGTCAGTTTCAGCAGTGGCTGAATCTGGACGCCAGTTCCGACTTACATACAGATTCAACTTAAGAACCCCAGGCGTCCCCAAGTCAGCTGCTGCTGAAACTGATCAGCAGCTGATTCCAGGAAGCCCGGGGCAGAGCAACTCTGCCTTGGGTTTCCTGTAGTCAGCGCTGGTCAGTTTCAGCAGCTGCTCTGCCCCAGGCGTCCGGAGAAAAGCCTGGTCTGCTGGGGGAGGGGGGGGGCTGTTGAATGCTCAGAAGTAACTTTCACAAGCTTTGAGCATGGCATTGTGAATCTACAGTATTTCACATACTGATTTCTGACAATTAACAATTGCAGGAATAAGGCATATTATCACTTCAGAGTGACTTCCTAATATTACTGCTGCCCTGTGCTAGTTGTCCATGAAACATATTATGAGATATGCCCGTGAATGAACCATAGATATATGGATTTAGGCAGCAGGATGCAGTGGTATTAATTTTACACAGAGAAGAGGCACATTATGCCTACTCATCACTTTCATATACCAGCTAACTGGTTGCAATGCAGAATTACAGTACTCCCGCCATATAATCAGTATTTCACACCTACCCCTACAACACAATTCACTTCTAAATCTTCTCTGCATCCCCCTGAGTGAAGGGGCAGAGATTACCAGGAGGGAACCTTAATCTGCAAATCTTTCAGGTCTTCCTTTCTCCTATAAGCACAAGTTCTACCAGCAGAAACCTGGATCTCATTTATCAGGGGGAGCTGGTTCTTTTAACCTTTATCTGTTCTGGTTACATGTTGTGACAGATTAAACTGTCTTTCTTTTCCTAATATTAAGATTTAAAGTCTATTTCATACTTAGTCATATTACAGCTGTGACTCCATGATGCTGTGAAAAAAGTGGGAAAAACCACTAGAAATAGGAAATTTGATCCAATAGAAAAAATTCCCTCATGATCAGTGGCATCTGAAGCATCCGAAAAAACACATTTCCTACACTACAACTAAGGGGTGAAAGGGAGGACAGGGTAGCTAACAGGAACAAGAGGCTATTGAGAAGCCCAGGAGAGAGTATAAATGTGGGGTGAGGGCACACAAGCCAATTAGCTAGCCAGATCATCCATTCCCAGCCAATGGAAAAGCAGTCAACTTGCCACAGAAGTATTCTGACATTCCCCGTCCCTTCTGGGCCCAATGTTGCATCCCTAGCAATCATGCAAGATCTTCCCTTGATGAGCGTGGGGGGAAGAAGCAGCAGTGTAATACTGAGCATGAAAAATAATTTGCCAGCTACTCTAACACAATGAACATCATTACACTGCAACTAAAAAAGAAGATAATGTCACGAACAAATTTCAAGTCCTTCTCTGCATACGTATAAATTGGAGCAAGTGGGAGGATTGCTGGTCTAGGAAACTCTGACCTGCGTATGTTTTTTTTTTTTTTCTGTGTGGAAGCTACAGGCAAGTGAAGCCTTAAGAAATACCAGCCATAGTAGTACAGCTGCAGATTTACTGCAAGCCAAACAACAGATCCTTATACATCAGCAACAGCTAGAAGAACAAGAATATCTATTGAAGAATTACAAAAAAAAGAATGAAGAATTTGAAGCACAAATTACACTTCTGCAAGACAGACTCACAGTCTATGAAATGGTAGGTTTCTTACTAGATGAATAAGTTTTCTATTGATTTTGATGTTGTTTTCCTGATTATATTTCATTTGAAGTTAATTATAAAATATAAAACCAAATATGTGTGTGCAACTCCTTACTACAGGAGGTGTAAATATTAGCTTCCTATTTTCATTTTATAGAGAGAATGTGTTGTCCCTTTAAGACAGACTGTTACTTGGATTTGTATATTGCATGCAGAGTTTAGAAGTAAGTACTAGCTGAATTGTCTAGGTCTTGTTTTTAGACTCTAGGAAAAATTTCCAAATAAACTTACAATTACAACAGAAATACTTGTAACAAGTGAATGAGAAAGGTAGAATTAGCATATTTATGTTAAACATCTATGACTTTGAAAGAAAATACAAAAAAAAAATTATTTGAACAACTCTTTTGTCATAAACAGGAAGTACTTTTATGCTTTATGATATATTTTTTGTGTTTGTGTAATGTCCTTCATGGAAATCATCTCAGATCATCTACAAAATTCAATTCCCTTTAAAGGATCTCCAACCAAAATCTCTTGAGTGTTCTAAAAACATTTGTAATCCATCGATTACAAGAGTGCATATTTGGCTTATTGATGTACATGCTTGTATTCAATGTCATTTTCAAATGGCATAGTGTTTACAGTATGAAAATTAATGTACCTTTGATGCAGTCTGATACGATGTCCACTATAGTCCATGGAAAAACGTCCCATTGCCTTCAGTGGCTGGTGAATCAGTCCCAACAAGTGATACGCAAAATGTTAAATGTAACTGTCAGATCTTCCCCCCGTATTTTAAATTTCATTCTTGTGAATATTTTCCTTTATAACCTTTAATTTCTGAAGAAATGTAGTTTGCATAGGAAACTAAAGAATTGCTTTCAGCTAAACCAAACACTTTTGAAATGTAAGTGTAGCACGCCAAAACATGAAATGATTTTGAAACATAATTTATTCCTAATGCAGAGAAAATTATTAAAAATGAATAGCATATGTTTTAAATCTAACTTTAAAAATAATTAGAGTGTGACATGATGCTTTTAAAGAAGCAATTTTAAGTGTAATATTCAAAGTTTTAAAACATTCAGATATTGAGATGACAAATGTTAAAGTGTGGTCTGTTTTTGTTTTTTTTAAAGGCAAAATACGGAGAAGATTCTAATAGAAAACTACAAGAGAAAGAATCACTAATAGGAGAGCTGAAAGCAAAAATAACAAAAGAAGAAAAAAATGCATTTCAGATGAAGGAAAAATTATCAGATGCCAATAAATCACTCCAGGAATTAAAAGAACATGTTGTACAAACAAATCAAGAAGCAAATAATCTGAGACTAGAACTGGCCAACTGCAAACAAAAAGAAAGACAATGTTCTGATGAAATCAAACAGTTAATGGGCACCGTGGAAGAATTACAGAAGCGATACCATAAAGACAGCCAATTTGAAACTGATGTCGTACAAAGAATGGAATTAGAAACACAAAGGAAACTGGCACAACTTCAGGCAGAATTAGATGAACTATATGGTCAGCAGATTGTACAAATGAAGCAAGAGTTGACTAAGCAGCATGCGTTAAAAATTGAAGAACTTCTTGCCCAGCAGAAAATAGAGCTGGAGAAAAATTTAAATCCCTGTTCACATGATAATATTAATGAAGACCAGGTACATTTAATGAATATTGCAATTAATGAATTGACTGTGAAACTGCAAGATGCTAATTATCAGAAGGAAAAAATAAAGCAAGATTTGTCACAACAACTGGAAGAAATTTCAGCAGACAAGTCTCGCCAACAAACACAAATTGAAGATCTTTTTCAAGAATTGACCTTTGCAAGCGAGCAGATTCAGAGAGCCAAAAAAACTATAGTGGACAAAGAATGCCAATTAAATGAAGCCAATAAATACCAGGTTATTATTGAAGATCTGAAAGCTCAGCTTGCTTCTGCATTTGAGCTCAGGAAAGAGTTAGAATTAAAACATGAGGCAGAAGTCACAAATTATAAAATAAAACTTGAAATGCTAGAAAGAGAGAAGGATGAAGTTCTGGACAGGATGGCTGAATCTCAAGAAGCTGAATTAGAGAGACTGAGGACACAGCTTCTCTTTAGTCATGAAGAGGAACTGTCCAAACTTAGAGAAGACTTACAACGAGAGCACAGAACAAGCATTGAAAACCTTAAAGATAACTTGGCCACACACCATAAACAGCTATTAGAAGGGGTACAGAATGAAATGAGTCAAAAGATAGAAGCCATGCAATTTGAAAAGGACAGTTTAATAACGAAGCAAAGTCAGCTGATATTAGAGATTTCAAAGTTGAAAGATTTTCAGCAATCTGTTGTAAATTCTAAATCGGAAGAAATGACTCTTCAAATACAGGAACTCCAAAAGGAGATTGATGTACTTAGGCAAGAAGAAAAAGAAAAGGGTACATTTGAACAAGAAGTTCAAGAGTTGCAACTTAAAACTGAATTGTTGGAGAAACAATTGAAAGAGAAAGAAGATAGCCTTCAAAAAAAATGTACAACGCTTGAGACACAAAATAACATTCTTAAAGATGAAAATAGAGCTCTAGAGGAGAAATTAAAACACATTTCAGTAAATTCAGAAAACAAATTGATTTTCACAGGCCATGTTAGTTCCAAGTCAGAAGATCTTGACATGCAAAAAAGAATAGAAAAGCTAACGGCTGAAAACAAGCAGCTTATAAAACAAGACATTGAACTCAAAGCAGAAATTGAAAGGCAAAGGAATATTTTTTCATTTGCTGAGAAAAAATTTGAAGCTAGCTATCAAGAGCTGCAGAAAGAATATGCTTGTCTTCTAAAGGCAAAAGGTGATTTAGAAGAGAGCAAAAACAAAGAGGAAGCTGAATATAAAACCAAGCTGAAAGCTCTAACTGAAGAACTTCAACATTTACAAAGCTATAAACAAGACCTATTAAAAACTAAAAGTACAGTCCTTGAAGGCTCTAAAGAAGACAAAATATGCAGAGCAGACACTTTTGAAATAGGAGAAGTTATTGAGAAAGATACTACAGAACTTATGGAAAAGCTTGAGGTAGCCCAGCGTGAGAAAGTGGAATTGTCCTTGAGACTTTCAGATCTTTCTGAACAATTAAAGTTAAAACATGGTGAAATTTGTCTGTTAAGTGAAGAAGTTAAATGTTTAAAACAAGAGAAAGACCAAGTTCTAGCAAAATGTAAAGAACTAGAACTCATCAGCCACAATCAGCCAAAAAATGTTAACATTTTTGAACAGAAGATAAAACATTCCAAAGAAAAAGCTCAAACAGATGCTATCCCAGTTTCTGAAACTAAAAATCTAATATTTGGTCCCAGCAGTGAACTTAATGAGAAAATAAAAGTAAGAGAAGATAATCTGAGTTTGTGTAAAGATGCAGATCATCTTGTAACAGAGAAGGAAATTCAGCAAAAGTTGAATCCAGAGCAGCAATCACTATTGAATCATTTGCACCAGATGACTGACAAAGTAGCAGGAGAAACTTCGCTACTAGCCATTACACAGCATGAAAATGGTCAGCTTCAACAACAGCTGGATATATTAAAATCTGAACAGGTATGTTCATAGAAACCTATATAGTAAAGGAAGTTACTAGGAGAACATCTGTACAAAATAGTGAAAGTTAGTGTTTATCTTAAATGTGATTTTTGTTTCTGGGTTGTTGTTTGTTGTAGATATGTTGATTAGTGGTTAAGAGGGGCGGTCATAGGAGTGATCTGTTTCATAGCTGTATGTTCAAGAATTGTTGTGTGTGTGAAGGGGTTCCTTTTTACTAGAAGTATGAATTATTCAAAAATATTAAGTGTAGTGAAAACATAAAAAAAAACCCTTAAATTAAACTTTCAGTTTTGGTAAATTATTTTCTATCAGTTAAAATATTATGAAGAAAAACCTAATAATTGTATTATGTCTTCAATACAGTTGTAACATCCTATCTTATTCAAAGAAAATAAAAGTTCTAATGATTCTAGATTTGTGTTGGAGAGGTCAGGTCAAAGTTGATTATTTTTTCCAAGACACTTCTACCTTGTTTTCCCGTTCTCCAGTATAACCACTCTTACTAAAAATAGGAAGGAATGCAGGCAATCCACTGTACTTTCTCACTGCTTATGTTCACTAAACTTAACAAACAAAATGTAGAACCTTTAACAACTACCACTACATTAATGTTTTCTAAATTTATTTTTTCTGGATGAGAAATGGAGACATGGAAGGTGAATAAAGTCTCAGAAGATATTAAAATCAAGTCAGTTGGGCCTCCACCTAACATCCGTTTCTACAGATGCAGTTATGTCTGCATTTTTGCGTGCTTGGTGAATTGCAGATATAAATACAAATAGTTATATCTCTGCTAACTTGTGGGTGCAAACAGATAGTTATACAGAGACAAGCATCTTAATTCTACAGACAATGATAAAATAAATATTGTAGAAAATACCCATAGTTAGATATTTCATAGACTCCAATACCTTAGACTTTGTCCTGTACCAGGCTTTTTTAGATTGTCACATGTATTTCTTGTCAGTTTTAAAACAATCTACATAGCTGCCATTAGCAAAGTAGATATCAGATTTGACGTCCTGAATTGACATATGTGTCTCACATTAGCCAAAGACATGGATCATAGAATACAACACTAAATTTAGTACACTGTGTGCTAATGTAGAAAAAATAGAGAAGAAAAATAAAATGAGGCTTGAAGTAACAAGAGAAATAACTAAGGTGTCAACATTTACAAAATATAATTTGATATGTAAATGATAAACAGGGCTCTGACTATCTCATTGTCTTGAGAATTGATGCCATTTCTTTGTTGCCTTTCCAATCAAGCACACAGCTTGATCTGCTATTTGCATCCTTTGTGAAGGGATAGTGTGACTAAGAATTCAGCTCTTTAATCCACTCAAGGAATAAATTTGGGACTGTGCTTCCACTCCAAACTTCTCTCCAGATTACCTGAATTGACTTGTTATTCCTCTGAAAATTTTCTTGAAAACTGTCATGCCACTGAATTTAAGAAAATATAGTTTGTAAGTATGCTGTCCATTACTGATTTAAAAGTCTCAGGGGGTGCCCATGTTAGTCTATAACTTTAAAAACAACTTTAAAAAAATTAGTAGTGCAGTTGCACCTTAGAGACTAACAAAAATATATGTCTAGTATCATGAGATTTCATGGGCAAAACCCACTTCTTCAGATGAAATGATCTTGAGACCATCAAGATCAGCTCATCTGAAGAAGTGGGTTTTGCCCATGAGGTTTTGTCTCAAGATCATCTCATCTGAAGAAATGGGTTTTTCTCACAAAAGTTCATGATACTAGACATATTTTTGTTAGTCTCTAAAATACCACAGGACTACACATTACTGATTTATTAAAGCAAAAATATGCAGATTTATTTTAAACTTAGGAAATCTCTTAATTATTCTACAGATTTGGTTTATGACTGTAAATAAAAACTAAATTATAGTTAACAAATATTTAAATATTAATATCATGTTAAGGTGTCATGTAGGGATGCTTAAAAATATTGTCTAAATTTAGCAGATGTAATAAAATACAGAAAGTTGGGGCTTTCTTCCTTCCTTATTTTTAACTCTTTTTATTATGCGTATTTCTATTCAAAGGCTGATTTACGGCTACAGATGGAGGCCCAGCGTATTTGTCTCTCTCTGGTTTATTCAGCTCATGTGGACCAGGTCCGTGAGTACTTGAAAGCTGAAAAAGAGAATGCACTCTGCAGCCTTAAAGAGGATCTCATCTGCAGACATGCACAAGAGATGAATGAGCTTAAGAAAATGCATCAACAGGAGCTCGAGACCTTGAAAGGTCAACAATCTGGTATATTGTTGAAAACGATAGACGTTCTCTTTGTAAAAATATTTATTTAAAAGAGAGCACGTGAGCAGAAAAGTTGGAGAAAAAAAATTTTTAGTTGCCTAACAAAATAGTGTCTTCCATCAAATATTTCCTTTTTTTATATTTAAATGTTCTAACTCAAATTATTGTAAAGTTTAAAGAAGCCCATTATATAGTACATACTATAGATTACTATTCAACATAATTTTTAAAAGACTAACATAAGTCACCACTTTTATTATTGATTTTTGTGATTTTTGAATACCAACTAATTGTATTGATAGTTTTCTATTTTATTTTATTTTATTTTATTTTATTTTATTTTATTTTATTTTATTTTATTTTATTTTATTTTATTTTATTTTATTTTATTTTTTTTGCTATTTTTCTTAGGGTAATAATTTTAGAGGATTACATTCAAAATGTTTAGATTAGTATCCTGTATTATAATCATATCAGTTAAATGCAGTAACACACTACCTTTGTTTTGTCTGTCTGTCATTTCCCTTCTTGAATCCCTCCACTGGTTCCTCATCCACTCTTCAAGCTTTTTTATCACTGCTTCCAAAACTCTGCAAAACTCTGACCCTCACTTCTTATCTGAGTGTGTTCCACTTCATGTTGCTCTCTCTTCCCATGGCTTCTCCACTCTCCATTGACAGCTCATTTGTCAATCACTTCTGAGCCTTCTCACATGTTTCCCCCTGTATGTTATGAACTTCCTGAACTTAATGATATTCTGAGTCATATTTAAGTCCCTTTTAAGGATCCATTTCTGCCATGCTGACTACATTTAGTTGACATGTATATTAAGACAACATTATGTGATGTTCTCTGAATAATGTGCTTATGCATGTTCCTGTTCAGGTAAGCATGTGTCCCAGGCACCTTTGGAGACTTGGTAGCAGTGCCTATTTGATCTGCACATGCACCCTTACTATCCCCATGCCCCATCTGGAGGATATATAGGGAAGTATTGATGAACTGCCCTCATTTCCTTCTCAGTTGCATGGGCCTGAGACAGAGTGCCTAGTGAGGCTGCTTCTGTTCAGAGGAGAAGCCAGGATGCAAACAGGCTTGAGAAACATACATATTTCTTGGTATGACCTATCTTGGGTATCTCCTCCCTTCTCTTCTGGACCCCCTCAGTGGCCATACTGATATCCCTGTGCTGCTTATCAATAGCAGTTTTCCAGAGCATCCAGCAGCCCCCATGCTGACCATCAAAAGTAAACATTTCCTGTCCCTCCCATTCCTTTGCTTCATTCTCTGCTGCAGGAGGAATCCTTTGAATATCATGAGAAAATTACTGACGATCAGATAAATATCTCATCCTCCTCTCCTGATGAGGCAGTCAGTTCTCTATGCCTCCAATCAAACATGAATAACTTGAATAAATTATAAGACCCCATACTGACACATCATATATCCTCGGAAGAAATACAGGAGATCCAGTATAGACTCTTGGCCCTCCTACAAACTGCTTCCTCCATCCAGGTAGCCATGCTTATAAATAAGACTTCACTTCCACTGTCCAAGATGATTTGGCAAAGTTTGGCCACCATACCTCCAACTTGTAAGAGGGCAGATAAAAATTATGTCCCTGGTAGAAGCTCAGAATTTCTGTTCACACACTTTTTATTTGTGGGTGGGGAATGAGCATAATAGGCCACAGAATGGCAGAATCATGGACCAAAGATGTTTTGGGTTGTAAGAGTTATTCATTTACCCCCACAAATTCAGGATTGCCAACTACCACTGGCTTGTTGCAAAATACAACCACATAAATTATTCAAATTCAAATAATTGCTTTATTGAACATTTGCCTAAAGAACACAAAGAGCAACTCAGTCTGCCATTGCTTAAAGCAGTGGTCCCCAACGTGGCGCCCGCCGGGGCATTTATGTGCGCCCCCGGACGCACGGCACGTGAGCGTCCCCGCCCCCCGGACGCGCGGCACGTGAGTGGCCCGGCCCCCTGGACGCTCGGCACGTGAGCAGCCCCGCCCCCGGACGTGCGGCACATGAGCGGCCCCGCCCCCGGGCACCCAGCGTCCCCGAAAGGTTGGGGACCACTGGCTTAAAGGTTGGGGACCAGTCAGCTTATGCAAAGAGCTTCTTTTCAGGCTTCTCTTGATGCAGCTGATACCAGCAGCCCACCCCTCTCTACAGCAGTTGTCATATGACATGCCTCTTGGCTATAATCATTAGGAACCTCTAGGCTATCCAGTGAAACCCTGCATGAATCCTTGCATTCCTGAAAGGATTTAAGAACTTTTCTCTACTCACTAAGGATTTATGCACTTGCAAATAATAGGAGATTCAGCAGGTCACACACAGCTCAAAAATCTCACTTTCCAATTTACTATAGACCTTCTGAATGTTTCACGAAAAACTTAGGATCTAGAAGGGAAAAACATCAGCAACCATGACTATCACAAGCCTAGTCATCTTTGTCAATTAAGGATTAATTCTGATACTCTACTTTCATTGAGGGCCATGAAAAATCCCATTATCTGGATCTACAGCTGCATCATACTGTCTTTCCCTTCCCTGCTCTCATCTTTTTGAGATCATTCATATTTTTTTACCTCATTGGAACAGATTACTTGTGTCAGATGGTTTTGGTGGTAATAACACTGGGCTCATGACTATTCATCTGCTGTTTCCTTGTCTTTTTTCAGAGACATCTCATGAACGTCTGCTGGGACAGGAAGTCCTGTACCTACTTTTGCACAAGCTTCAAGCTCCTGGGGCTCATAACCAGAACTCTTTTTAAAAAAATACTCAGCTTACACCTCCCTCTAAGGAAGTATATGCTATAATTTGAAAACTGCGTAGAGTCTCTCCAAGATTATTTGTCTCTTATGTGGACAGAATTAAAAGGGCTGCTGTTTCAACCTAGAGACTGTTCAAGTGGCTTTCCAGCTGGACACTTGCCTGTTAAGAAGCTGCTAAGATTCAGCTCCCTCCTAGGCCCATTCCACTAGATTGCAGTCTACTTCCATTGTCTTGTTTTTAACTGCACACATTGCAGAAATCTGCAGATCTGCCACAGGATCTTTGGCTCTCATTTTCTCTAAAATCTATACCCTAATACTCCCTCTAGGGCAGACACTGCCTTTGCTACTGCTTTCTACAAACAGCCTCACACTGGGCTCTTCAGTAACCATCTTCTTTAAGGACTATAGCTCAGGAATCACTTATAGTGGTTAAAGTGATTCGGCACGCCCATAGAGACATTACTTAAAGAAGGTTCATACTTGTATAATAATTGGAGACCTTTTAATTTTTTGTCCTGTGGGGCTACACTACTGCACTCCTTCCCTTCTTTTTTGGAATCTTCTTTCCATTAGACTTGTTATAGAGAAGGAATTGAGGTTAGTTCATCTGACACCTCCCTTAGTAAGGGGCATGAGGATAGCAAGGGTGCATGTGTGAACCAAATGGAAACTAATACCAAAAGTCTTTCATTGTGGGCTCATGGGGCATATGCATACCTGAAGTGGGCCACCTAGGGACTAGAGATGTGAAAGGTTAACCAGATGTGAAAGGTTAACCCCTAACTGGGTAATGCTTACTGGTTCCAAGTAACTGGTAACTGGTTGGGCGCTGGAGCAGCTCCCTGCCTTTGGCAGGCAAGTTGCTTCTTCAGCCCTGAAGGGGGGCCTCCATGGACAGGGACTGCTCTCATCCAGAGCAGCTCCTGTCCACAGGGAGCCTGGACCCACCTCAGACAGTAGCTGCTGGGGGGGCTGGGAGACAAAAGGGCCAGGGCCAGCCCCAGGCTCAACCCCAATCCCAGTATGGGGCAGGGAGATAGCAGCCAGCCCTAACGGGCTGCTGTTGCTGGGCTAAAGCAGTCCCTAGTCCAGATCCCACTTAGTTAACTGGTTAAACATAATCATAGAATACGAGGACTGGAAGGGACCTTGACAGGTCATCGAGTCCAGTCCCCTGCCCTCATGGCAGGACCCAGTACTGTCTAGACCATCCCTGATAGACATTTATCTAACCTACTCTTAAATATCTCCAGAGATGGAGATTCCACAACCTCCCTGGGCAATTTATTCCCGTGTTTGACCACCCTGACAGTTAGGAACTTTTTCCTAATGTCCAACCTAAACCTCCCTTGCTGCAGTTTAAGCCCACTGCTTCTTGTTCTTCCTGGCCTCTGAGGATAGAACAAGATTTCTCTCTCCTTCTTGTGACACCCTTTTAGATACCTGAAAACTGCTATCATGTCCCCTCTCAATCTTCTCATTTCCAAACAAGCCCAATTCTTTTAGTCTTCCTTCATAGGTCATGTTCTCTAGACCTTTAATCATTCTTGTTGCTCTTCTCTGGATCTTCTCCAATTTCTCCACATCTTTCTTGAAATGTGGTGCCCAGAACTGGACACAATACTCCAATTGAGGCCTAATAAGCGCAGAGTAGAGCGGAAGAATAACTTCTCGTGTCTTGCTTACAACAAACCTGTTAATGCATCCTAGAATCATGTTTGCTTTTTTTGAAACAGCGTCACACTGTTGACTCATAATTAGCCCACTATAACACCTAGATCCCTTTCTGTCGTACTCCTTCCTAGACAGTCGCTTCCCATTCTGTATGTGTGAAACTGATTGTTCCTTCCAAAGTGGAGCACTTTGCATTTGTCCTTATTAAACTTCATCCTGTTTACTTCAGAACATTTCTCCAATTTGTCCAGATCATTTTGAATTATGACCCTATCCTCCAAAGCGGTTGCAACCCCTCCAAGCTTGGTATCATCTGCAAACTTAATAAGCATACTCTCTATGCCGATATCTAAATCGTTGATGGAGATATTGAACAGAACCAGTCCCAAAACAGACTCCTGCGGAACCCCACTTGGTTGACCTTATATTTAACCAGTTAACTGATTAACCAATTATTTTACATCTAAGCTAGGAACAAATACCTAGAAGAACTGATGCTAATCTACAAAATTAGTAGCATCTCCTTTCCAGGTTGGATTGATTTAAAACAAGGCAATTTAAGTCACACACAAAAAAATGTTTAAATCAAGTTTCCCACTGATACTACATATTTCTTCAAACAATTGTGCAAATCTGATCACTAACATTTGTTAATTTACAGCTCTGTACAGAATTTTACAATATCTAGAAGGGTATATTTTGTGCAATTTTTTTACATAACATGATTTTTATTAATTTAGGAAATAGTGCATAATACTCATTACCTGTGTCAAGCTGCAGATGCAGCACCAGTACATTGGCAATGATAAGAACTAAATTATACACAGAAACACACTAGCTCTTATATTTCATTAAACTATATCTTAAATGTTATATAAATGTTTCACATTTGCAATTGCAGCAGTCTCCAGAGTTGCTGGCTGACTGCTGTCCTTAAACGCTTTTTTCAAATTTTTCAAATTTTATTAACTTTAACAGATTAGTCCTCACAACACTCAGGCTATGTCTAAACAGCACTGCTATTTTGGAATAAGGTATTCCACAAGAGATATTCCAGAATAGCTTATTTAGAAATAGCGCATCTACACACAAAATGCGTTTCGAAATAGCGCTTTCACACTGTTTGGATGCTGAATTACATTTAAGGCCATCCGGAACCAGTGCAGGCAGGGCATCAGGTCAGTAGTTACCTTGTGTGGCTGCTGCTTGAGGCTATCTGAGGCGTGTGTTTAGAGGGACCCCCCGGACAGCTGTTTCTGAGGTTTCCCTGCTTGTTTGCCTACCTCTCTGAGGGACAGCAAAGCACTTTCTCTTCTTGCTCTAGTTGCCCTGACTCAGGATCATAGAATCATAGAACCATAGAGCTGGAAGAGACCTCAGAAGGTCATCAAGTCCAGCCTCCTGCTCTACGCAGGACCAATCCCAACTAAATCAACCCGGCCAGGGCTTTGTCAAGCCGAGACTTAAACACTTCTAGGGATGGAGACTCCACTACTTCCTTAGATAACCCGTTCCAGTGCTTCACTACCCTCCTAGTGAAATAGTTTTTCCTAATATCCAACCTGGACCTCTCTCACCACAACTTGAGACCATTGCTCCTTGTTCTGCCATCTGTCACTACTGAGAACAGCCTCTCTTCATCCTCTTTGGAACCTCCCTTCAGGAAGTTGAAGGCTGCTATCAAATCCCCCCTCACTCTTTACTTCTGCAGACTAAACAGACCCAAATCCCTCAGCCTCTCCTCATAAGTCATATGCTCCAGCCCCCTAATCATTTTGGTTGCCCTCCACAGCACTCTCTGCTATGGAGAAAGAGCTCCCTCCTGGCAGTCTTCAGCTCTTGGAGCTTTTGCTGCAAGTCATGCAGCACTTTCTTCTTTGAGTGGTTGCTCATGTCCTTTCGAATCAGGTGTGTGCACCGGGTGCACCTTGTCTCTGGAGCGTTTTCCCTAGCAGTACCTGTAGCACTGGCAGGGCGCCCCCTGGAGTGGTGCCGCAATAGCAGAGCATAAGTACCCTTGCCAGCGCTCCCCTCCTCAGTTCCTTCTTACCGCCCGTTGGAGCATGTCTCTCTCTCAGAGTAGTTAATGGTTTCCGTTTCTCTTAGTGTTAGTGTTTGTAAATAGTTATAAATAGTTTTAATTAGTTAGATAGCGAGTTCTTTGTTTTCCTTCTCCCCTTTGGGGGTGAGGAATGCCAGGGCCGCAAGGCTTTAAGGCTTGCGCAGTATGCGCTAAGTTCATGCCTAAGGGAGACCCTCACGATAGCTGCTTAAAGTGTTAAATACTTAGCCTGTAAAATCTGCAGGTCGTTCAAGCCCCGCACGAAGAGAGTGGAAGGAGGGGGGTAGTGAAAACCTTGGAGGAAGGAACTGGAAGGCGGAGGAGAGGTTCAGGGCTTGGTCTGGGAGTGGCGCCGGCCTCTGTGGATCCCACCGCTGTGGGAACAGGGGCCTTGGCATCCACAAGGCAGTGGAGAGGGTGTGGAGGGAGAAGTGGGAGGGGGAAAGGGAGTGGGAGGAGGAGAGAGAGCTCGAGAGGGAGAAGACAGCATGATGTGCACATCACTGCACAGGGAATGGCCCTCTGCAAGCAGCTCCCGCCAGCTCTTCCACTGTAGCTGCAGGTCCTCCTCCACCCAGTTGTCGATGGTCCTGTTCAGGGCTCGCAATGCTGCCAGGTGCTGTTGCTGGTATTCATCCATTGGATGTTCACTACTGCGGATGACTCAGCTGCAGGGAGATGTCCCAGGTGGTATGGGCCACCCTCCACTCACAACTGGTCCGGCTTTGGAGAACAAAGAAAGATGGTCAGTCATCCCAGGGAACACATGCCTGAAGCCCAGCCCCCGCCTCTGCAAGCTGAGAGCGACAGTTCTCAGTGCTGTCGCAGCCGATGTGCTTGGAGCCAGACCATGTGCACTATGGCCAGTGGCCCCGATGTCCCGGGGCTGTGGGCTGCCCTAAGACTGTGGCCATGCCCATGTGTAGAAGTGATCAGTGTGTGTGGGGGAGAGAGAATGTTGCCTGCCTCCTTCTAGAGGTTTCTTGTGGAAGGAGGGGGCTTGTGGAGGGAGGGTGTCCCACTCTTGGGTCAGGAGCATGGCAGGTCTCTCCAGATACCCTGTGGCCAATAGCCCAAGGTTCATGTGTCGCAGCCTTCTGGGGCCACGTGTCGAGGAGCGGCATGGCACATGCTCCCAAATGCACAGGTTGCTGCGTGATCTGTGGCGATCAAGGGCCAAGCATGGAGCACCTAGTTCTCCCCCTCCCCCATCCCCTGCATGATGGGAAGATGATGGCACTCACACAATGTTCTTTCCCCAGCCTCGTACAATGCCTGGGAGATGTCCTCGGGTCTCCTGGAACAGCTCTGTGGTCAGGCTGGCTTCATCCAGGTCCTGGATACTCGCATTGTTATTTCAAAACAACGTTTGTTATCTCAAAATAACGGTGCAGTGTAGATGCACCCCTAGTTAACTTATTAGACAAGCCATAAGGATTTGCTAAGCTAAACTTTTTTTTTAACATCCAACATAGCAAACAGCTTAGGAATTTACTTCTTAAATCATATTTATATTAAAAGGAATAGAGTCTTGTAGAATGTTGCATTACAAAGTTGATCCACATTGATCTTCAGCCGTATCCATATCTTCAGCCACATCATTTTCTCCCAATAAGCAGTTTTCCTTTTGACTGTTCATTCTTACAAGTAGGCCCTCAAAATGTATTCTTGCACTTACACTTGACGGATTTTCCTTTTTTACCCAGGGAATTAATTTCTTCAAAATATTCTCAGATGGGGTCTCTTACACCCAAAAGCCATGACAGTTTTTCTGTGGCAAAAGTGCGGGGGAATATAGGAAGCAGTGTCTGTGCTGAATAATGTCTTCCCTTTTTCTTCCACTCCACTCCGCTTTTCCTTTCTATGCTGACTCCATCGTTTCCTATATATTGTCTTTCTGTCTACTAGACAATGTCTTAACCAACTCCTCTGCCATGCTTAGCCCAGGCCCACCACCACATAAGCACAGAACAAAAACAATCCTATCCAGCCTGTGTTTGTCTTCTGTATATATTAGTGTGCTGAGAAACAGAAATTGAAAATCCAGAACTTTTATGAAGCAAGAGCGGGATGCTAGGTTGGACAGACTAGAGCCATTAATTCATTTTATAAGACTGTAGGTGTAGCATGTTTGTAATAAGATTTAATTGTAACTTATTTTTAAATGAGAAATTTCGTATTTTACTGATGATTTAAAAAATCCAATTTCAATTTTACAAAATCTGATATCTTTGATTTTATAAATCATTGATTTTTATCCAGCCATCTCCTTATTCATTCACCCAATTTCTGTCTTATTGTTTGTTTGTCCTTAGATTGTGAACTTGTTAGGGTTGTGCCTTCTTGTCTGTTTGAGTAGAGTGCGACACCCAATTCATGCTATAATAAATAAGTTAATAATATTAATCTGTATTAATAGGTGATGAAGACAAATCTACACTGATGCTTATAGAAAAGCTAAGCAAGGCAGTGTCTGAGGAATGTGTTAGTCTCACACAGGTAAGACTTCACCAAATACGCATTTTTATATGAGAATTTTGAAAATTAATAACTGTTTATATACTGATTAAATTATTTCTTTATAGTTCTTCTCACCACCTTTAATAAACTTTCATCAGAGCTTTTTCCTCTTATAGTAATCATTCAGTTTGAGAATCAGAACAGTTTTCCTTTCTTAATGTATTTCTTCAGCTCCTGACATTTTCCTGTGTTCTATGTCTGGTGCTTGTGAAATCTTGCCACCTTTCTGTAAACTGCTATAAATGGCCAAAATTCATAGTTCATAGCTTTCAATGCCTGAAGGGACTGTTACGATTAATTAGTTTGACTTCCTGCAAAGCATAAGCCAAAATGCTTTACTCAGTAATTTTCCCGTCAAGCCCATAACTTCTGGCCAGTATTCCGGAAGTAGGAATAAGAGATCCTCTGGAAAAGGGCTTTATTCCGGAGGATCGCGCCAGTCTAGACGCTCTTTTCCGGCTTTTCCCCAAGCCGGAAAAAAAGCGGCGGCCATGTTTATTTAAATCCCGCGGGGGATATTTAAATCCCCCGCGGATTTCCCTATTCCAAAGTTCAAAATTAGCATGCCTCTTCCGGAAAAGGGGCCAGTGTAGACGTAGCCCAAGAAGACTGTTGACTAAATTGCAACTGCAGATTCTTTAATATTAGATCTGTTAAAGTCAAAAGAACACAGCTTCACATTAAGTGTCCAAGTTGAGATTCTACAGCTAGCATTTAAGAGAAGTTATCCTATTTGTAGGTTGAATATATTTATTTTAAAAATCAGTGAGTCAGTAAACAAGGAACCCTGAAATGCTATTTGTGCAGTCACTTTTTTCAGAGTATAACTATGCTTTCAGGTGCTATAACATCTCAATGTTAAAATGCCATACATCCTGGGCAGTTTAGCACCAATAAACTTTAATCAGTCTCTTTATTTGTATTTACATGTATTTCATGTCTTTGTTTTTGCCTGCCTGATGTATTATTGAGAATAGATTGGATAATGGCCTCTTCAAACATTTCAGAAACGTTTTTTGTAGGATTCTTATATATTTCTACAATATAGGATACTTTTCACCAACAAAGGAGCAGGAAGTAAGAGCGAAAGTACGTATGATGCAATATGCATTGACCTGTGAGCCGCAACAGAATAAGGCTAATTCTATAAGACCTAAAGGACTTGACCGTGTCAGTTTCAATGCTAAGGCAATATTTTTTCTGAACCATCCTCCTCCTCACATTCCAATGTTTTTTTTAATGTAAAATGTTGTGTAATTTATCATCTGAAAACTTTGCAAACAGATGTATAAAACTATTTCCATGGAAGTTACTACCCAAATGATAAAAGCGACGAGGAGTCCTGTGGCACCTTATAGACTAACTGAAGTGTAGGAGCATAAGCTTTCGTGGGCAAAGACCCACTTCGTCAGATGCATGTAGTGGAAATTTCCAGAGGCAGGAATAAATATGCAGGCCAGGATCAGGCTGGAGATGACCAGGTGGATCCAATCAAGGAGGATGAGGCCCACTTCTAGCAGCTGATCTGGAGGTGTGAATTCCAACACCCAAATGATAGTGCTTTATGGATGCTATTTTTCTATTCTGTTTCCTCTGCCTGTTGTCTTTGATAAAATCATAAATTATTGGTTGTAGCCTAAACTACATTTAGCAAATGTGGACAAATTGGAGAGTCCAGCGAAAGGCGACAAAAATTATTAGGGCACTCTTACTAGGAGAGGCTGAGGGAACTGGAATTATTTAGTCTGCAAAAGAAAAGAATGAAGAGGGATTTGACAACAGCCTTCAGCTACCTAAAGGAGGATTCCAAAGAGGATGGAGCTAAGTTATTCTCAGTGTTGGCAGATTACAGAACGAGGAGGAATAGTCTCAAGTTGCAGTTCATGAGGCTTAGGATGGATATTAGAAATAAATATTTCAGTAGGTCAGGGCTTCTCAACATGAGGCCTGTGGGCTGCATGCGGCCTGTGGCCCGTTTGTCTGCAACCCGCAGTGTGGTTTGGGTTTACATGGGGCTCAACACGTGGCCCGTGGGTGGGATCCTTTGAACATAGCCTCCTCTGGAAACACACTCCACAACAGCGAGGCATCTCTCAGGCGGTGTGAGCATTGAAAGATGCAAGTGGACAGGCTGGCTGGAACAGACCGATATAGGGTGTCAGTGTTTCTAGCCCCCAGGGAGGAGGTGCGAGGAGCACTGGGGCATTGTGGGAAGTGATTTGTATTCATGCCCGTCAGTGTGAAAGAAGCTATTTGCATATATTTGCATGTATATGCAACCTCACTTAAGTTGTGACCCCCAGCATGTGCTGGGGAGTATCGTTATGGCTCCCGGGGCTTCCAAAGTTGAGTAGCCCCACAATAGGTGGATGGTGAAGCACTGGGAATGGGTTACCTGGGGGGGGGGGTTAAAATCTTCATCCTTAGAGGTTTTTAAGGCCCAGCTTGACAAAGCCCTTGCTGGAATGATTTAGTTGGGATTGGTCCTGCTATGAGCAGGGGTTGGACTAGATGACATGCTGAAGTCTCTTCCAACCCTAATCTTCTATGCTTATGTTTCTTTTTTAATTGTCATATAGGTTCTGTACAGTGTTCAGTGTGAACAACACTCAACTCCTATTGAAGTTAGTGCTGGCAAACAAGATGTGTACCATGCTCCTCTTGTTGAGAGAAAGGTACCCAACATAGAATTACCAACTCACAGAATTCAAGCTCAAGGTAACTTTTAGATATTGCTGACAACATGATATTAATATACTGGTATTAATAAATTAAGGAAATAGTGTCCAGATTTTCCTCTTGTCCTTACCAGTAATACAATGTGTCCATGCCCCCTGGGCTAGGAGTGCAGTCGCAGCTGGGCTGGTGGCCAGGGGTGGAGCTATGGCTGAGGCAGTTGGTAGAAGAGCTAGCGCTACAGCTGCAACTGTGGATAGGGCTGGAGCAGAGCTAGGAGCATGGTGGCACTCACTCCTCACCCCAAGGTCAGAGCTGGTCTGGGCCCCACTGCGCTCCTCAGGAAGCATGCTCCAAAGTTTGGGGACCACTGGTCTGACATCAATATTAATATGTCAGCTCAACAGCTTTTATATACACTTTTTTTATTTCTGTATATGATTCAGTTGTTTATTTTCATCACTAATTAATCACCTTTCAAGAGGTCTGAGTAGTCTGAATCACTCTTATTTTATGCAGTGCTCACTGTTCAGTGCTTACTATAGTGGAAGTTTCAAATAGCTAATGTGAGAAGGTTGATTTTCCTCCTCATACAACACGAGAAGCTAAGCAGGTCTACCATAAATTATGAACAAACACATGCATACTAAGTTCATAAAAACTTGCATAGCTGCTCTCCCACTTACAATAATGGAGTAGTATAACAGGTATTAATCTTCTTCGGTTAAGAACTTGTGAGCAGTTTGATTAATTAAAAATACAGTGTATCATGGTGCAGTAATTGTGAATTTAATGGAAATGTCACAATCTCTTGTTTGTAATTTAGCCTTGCAAGAAAGTATGCAAGCTCTTCTGAGCAAGATAATGGAAGAATACAACAGGCTGATAGTACTTCATTCACAGTTTATGAAGGATTGTAAAAAGGTAAACTATTCATATTTCCATATAATTATAAAGTAGCTATGCAAGACAGATACTTGTTGTGGATTCCATCTATTCTTTGTTTATTAATTCCCAATTCTGCAAACACTCCAGTATTTAAGTTTGTGCACATAAACATCACATAGCCCATTTATTCATGCATAAAATGAAGCACATATGCAAGTTTTTGCAGGATTAAAGCCTTATATAAAATACTATTTAATGCTTGTGTAATAGCTGGGTCAAAGAAGGGAAAATGAACTTTTCAGAATTAAATGGAAAACTCTATTAAATGTCATGTTTTATATCGTATAAAACTCAGTATTCTTGATGAAAAAAGTTGCACCAACTTTCCTATAATATTTCAGAGTGATTTTACAAGATATCTTTATCACACTGACAAATCCCAGGGGGACATGGCTTCCTTGCAGATTGAGTGCCACCTGAATTAATCTCTTGCTTGTTCCTTAAGATGGCTTGGCTGAATTTTCACTTTGTCCATCACCAGCAATATTAATCTCACTATGAAATATTTTGGCCTATCTATTATCATCAGCCATGTACTGGCATTCCTTGGTGAACTTGCTTTGGTATTCATTGTTCTTCCATTCTAATATGTCCGTATCAAGAAAGCTACCAAATCCAAAATAGTGCTCATGGAAGTGAATATAGGTTCAGCTTCAAATATCCCCATTTCTAATCATGTCTCGCTGTCAACTATGGAGCCACAAAACGTTAGGTTTTATGTTATCTTTTTACATTTTTTTTTGGAAATTAATGTATTGTTTAACTGTCCTTCCTGAGTTAAGTAGTTTCAATACAATTTATGGCGTATAATTAATGTGTTATTGTTTAATTAATTTCATGCATGTGGTTTCTAAAATGAGTACTTAGCTAAGTGTAATACCAAGAAATTTGAGAAAAATATAGTTTAGTCTTGATTAATAGTGGAGCCGTTTTTAGTGTATACAGTAGATTCTGCTTATTAAGAACTCTTCATCAGATGGTCAAAATTGGCCCTTAACCTGCGATTGTCAATAAGAGTGGCGTTTTGCAATCCACAGCCAGAGAAGTAAGCTCTGAGATTCAATGTACCTTTCCAGTACTCTCCAGGCACTATCTTCCCCTGGCACCAGGGTTCCAGGCTTCAAATGTCCCAGTGCCAGCTTCATTGGCTACAGTCCTGCAAACATACTTGTGACTGGGGATTTCCACAGGAGGTGGGGGCTCTGAAATATGCTGGACCCCGTCCCCTAGGGCAGGATGCAATCTGGAAAGCATGGGGAACACAAGTGCTTTGTAGCCCTTCATGTAGCCCTGCTCCCTCCTTCTGCCATGCCATCAGCACCTAATCTCAGGCCTGGGTTCTGCATGCCCCATTGCTTCTGTCCCTCACTGCAGCCCCACAAAAATGTCTACAGTTAAGGCTTTCCACAAAAAGTTGGCATTAGCCGACATGTCTGTTACCAGTGTCTAGGCAATTTACTTTATAGTCATTGTATGGTATTGGTTTCATGATTCCATGAACAAAAAGTTTTTATTAATGGGGTTCCTATTAAGCAGAATCCACTGTACTTTGAACATTGTCACTTTTTAGGGTGATGCTGTTTGCTTTTTACAGTTGTGATGGACACAGATAGATGTATAAAGTTGAACAATTACATAATGTAAAATTACATGGATAATTTTAAAGCATCACCTATCAAATATTCTGCTGTTTTTTTATTTATTTGTACAAATTCAACTCATGATTCAGTGAAAAATATTCATCTAAAAGAGAGAAGCACCCAAAGACTGCATACATCATATTGGCTGTGCATTGGCCCAATCTATTTAGAATACAGGTTAGGAGATTGATTTTATTTCATAATACATCAACTAAATTAAAAAAAAAATCTAATTAAGTTTCTTTCACTGTTGCCTGTGAACAAATTCAGTAGCCTTCAATTGAAAATTCTGAGAGGAAAATCTTCAAATAATCTCATAAAGAGATGTCCTGTATTTTTTTAAAGGGTAAAAGGAATAGTCTGTGGTTAATTTGACCAGAAGTAAAGTATTTCTTCTTCCTTAAGATAACTTGAACCTCTTTTATCTGCATTGTGCACATGTTAATGTTTTATAGGTAAATAAACAGAGTATGAACTTTCAATATAAAATAAATTTCTGAACTCATTCTAAGGGGATTTTTTTGCATGCATGACTTGAAAAGCAGGTGGGAGAGACATGCAACATTTATAAAAAACACTATGAATTCAACTTGATGGATCTGTTACAAGAGGATGAATTGAAATGTAACTAGCAATATGCCATCTATTACCCTGGGACCAAGAAGATCATCTTTGCAGAGGGCCTGCCCTCCATATCTGTACTGGATGCTATAGAACTTAACAGTCTGTGGGCAAATGACACAGTACTCTGTCATGTAAATATAAGGTTATTAAATTTACCCAGCATTGTTTGCATCCTTAATTCACATAAATTTTGTTTTTCTTCATTTAAATAATTGTTCTGGGGTGCGTGTGGGGACTAGGAGTTCAGTATGTATAACCCACACACCTAGGATACATCTAAACTACATCCCTTTTTTCGGAAAAGGGATGTAAATTAGACGTATCAAAATTGCTAATGAAGCAGGGATTTAAATATCCTGCGCTTCATTAGCATAAAAATAGCTGCTCCTTTTTTTCAGCACGGTGCTTTGTCAGAGAAAAGCAGCAGTCTAGAGGCTGTTTTTTCGAAAAATAAAGCCTTTTTCGAAAGATCCCTTATCTCTCGTGAAATGAGGTTTACAGGATCTTTTGAAAAAGGCTTTATTTTTCGAAAGATCAGCCTCTAGACTGCTGCTTTTCTCCGACAAAGCTCTGTGCCGAAAAAAGCGGCGGCCATTTTTATGCTAATGAAGTGTGGGATATTTAAATCCTCACTTCATTAGCAGTTTTGATGTGCCTAATCTGCATTTCTCTGTTGGCAGAGAGATGCAGTCTAGACACACCCTTTTAGTGGGTGTGGTTTACTGTCCCATGTAGTGGCACTTAGACCAATTACAGTGAAAGGGTGTGTCTAAACTACATGGCTCCGTCGACAGAGCCATGTAGATTAGTTTACTCGAAAAAGGGAAATGAAGCAGCGATTTAAATAATCGCCGTTTCATTTAAATCAAAATGGCAGCCGCTCCGTGCCGATCAGCTGATTATCGGCACAGTGCGACAGTCTAGATGGGGATCTGCCAACCCCAGATCCTGAGACATACAGGATCTGCCAACGAAGGGTTCTGGGGTCGGCAGATCCCCATCTAGACTGTCGCACTGTGCCGATAATCAGCTGATCGGCACGGAGCAGTCACAAATATAGCGATCAATTAGACCTTGAACATGTTGGCAACGCCCACCTGGGAAAAAGTTCTTTGTAGTATCTCTGGGTATGTCTAAACTACATGGCTCTGTCGACAGAGCCATGTAGTTTAGACATACCCAGAGATAAGAATAAGGGAGGTCTACAGCCTAAGCTGAGAACTAGCTGGCTTTGTAGCTTAAGCTATAGGCTCCTACACTAAGGTCCCAGGTTCAAATCTTTCTACAGGTGGTACATATGCAGCTTTTCCACGGTAGCAGTTTGGGGCCAGGTGAGAAGCACCTGGCCATGGCTGCTGCAGTAGGCACAGCTGGGGTAGGGACACATGTTCCATGGCAGGATGACAGACAGATTGTCAGACCAACAGACAAATTCTCTGAAATGAATAATAAATGGCTGTACCAGTGGGGTTATAGTTGTCCTGGTCCCCATCTCTGACTCCTTGCTGCCACCCCCCCGCCCCCAGTTATTCTACAGCAAAGACCCCTCTCTTTCTGTTAGAGTAAATATCTGCTGACACCATTATTGGACCTAACTATGCCTATTACAAGATCAAGAACACATATTCCTGTTCATCCAGAAATATAATTTATGCCATCATGTGCCTAAAGTGTCCGTCTGCTATGTACATTGGACACACTTCTCAGACACTTCGCCAAAGAATCAATGCACACAAAACAGACATAAGACTCTCTCACAGAGAGAAAGCTGTTGCTTGCCATTTCAGCCAGACTGACCAGGAGTCAGAGATGGGGACCAGGACAGCTGTAACCCCACTGGTACAGCCATTTACTATGTATTTCAGAGAGTTTGATGAAATAATCATTTTTCTTACTGATCTGTCATCAGCAGAAAAATTGATAGTACAGACTATATATATGTTGCATATTAAAAGATTAAATATGATATATTCAACAGTTGCTTCTAGAAATAGTTTGCAAAATGTGCAGGCATGCGAATGTATTTTATATAAATGGTAGTTTGGGTACAAGTAAAACATTAGTGTCTATTATGCTTTCAGGACAGTTACAGTTTCTGATCTTGATTTAAATATTGCTTAAACTATTGTCATTTATTTTTATTATACTTTCCCTAGATTGAAGAGCCACAGATATCATGTGTTGAACTGGAGTGTAGAAATGAAGAAAGCAGCTGTCTGCAAATGAAAATAGAAGGCTTTCAAACCCCTTCACAAGAGCTTATTGGTAAAGAGATGTATATGCATTTCCTATTTATTCATTCATATTTCTACAGCTATAAAGATTAACAAACTGCTTTAATTCTAAATTGGTTTATAGAAAAGATGAGTTAAACATCATAAGTAGGGAGGAATCTATCTGATTCATGTGCTTTTTGTTTCTATAAATCTCTGGAATATTGTTTAGAAATTGAACTGATGAGCTATAGAACTTTGTTCAGTGTTATTTTTGGAGTTTTAGCTATTAAAGGGATTGTTAATATTACCACTAATAATGAGAATGAGTTCTTGTAGTATTTTGTGAGATTGTTATTTATAGAAAATAGGATTGTTCTGGTATCACAATTAAATTAATTACCTTAATTTTTATGTGACGTTTGATGTTATTACTAGTCATCGTTTTACTGTTTCAGAGAGAACTTCTGTTTATTAGCATAATTGTTAATTGATATGTCCCCTTTAAACTACATATAGATCTTATGGTTAGAGCATCTCGTTGGGAAGAGATGGAGAAACTTAAAACACAACTTGAAGGACAACATGCACAAGAAATTGAGCACCTCCGGTCCTATTTCCAGCAGCAGTTGAAAGAAACTGAAGAGAGATACACTACAGAGATTGTTCATTTACAGAATAGACTTCAGGATGTCACACAATCTCCTGAACATTTCAGGTATCCCATGACCTTTATCCTCCGTTTCTATAGAGTTTATACTGAACTTTGTATGTAAACATTAGTGTTTTTAAAAAGCTGATGCATGCAAAGCTTGATATTTAACAACATCTGAATATGAAAAATAACAAATAATATGAACATTTATTTACTCAGCACTTTTTTCAAAAAATCAGGTATTTTACAAAGAAATGATATAACCAGAAGGAACTAAGTGACGGAACAGTGTCTCATAACTCTGAAATTATTGCATCCTAAATTCACTATTTCACAAGTGTTTCTCGGGGGAGGGGGACAGTGATCTCAGCATGGTGCCTTGGTTGGGAGAAACCAGTAGATTTGGTCCAGTAGGAGTGGGAAGTCAAGTGGCAGTGGTCGTGTCATCACTCCAGGAAGCACCCCTGCCCCCCCCAAGGGGTCGTCTGTGACTTTGCCCTGTAACAGGTGACACAAACTAAAATGCATAAAGGATATAATAAAGGATAATAACTTGTCGAGGTCAGTACAGATAATGCAGATTTTAATAAAATCCACATAAAAATAAAATAAACAGAACCAGCGGATTATGACGTGAAGATTGATAGGTTGCACGACATAATTTGCTCAAAGCACCTTTGAGTTATGTATATTTATGTCCATAAGTCCATTTCATAAAGCAATTGGGAGGGGTTTGTCACATCACCACTTGATCATTGTGTTTACTTGTCAATCTGCTGATTTAATTCAAGTTAACTTGTGCAGTTAAATATTTAACAATACTCATGAGCATACATTCTTTTTAAAATAAACACTTTAAATGATACAGTGTCCTGTTCGTTCGCCTCTGTATTCTTGAGCATCATTCAAGTTAGAAGGAAACCAAAGGTTTTCACATACATATAGAATTTAATGGAAAAAAGCCTCTTGCTTGGGTATCACTTTGCCTTCTAGGAACCAAATGTGGACCTCCACCTCCCTATAGGTCTCATAGATTCTGGGGGCAGGAGTGTTGTTCAGTCCCCTTCCTTACTTTGTTAATTCACTTGTAATTTTTTTAAGAGCCAAGCAGAGAATTAATTACTTCCTTGCTAGGAGTTAGGAAGGATCTTTTCACCAGTTATATTTTCTATCACATCATGGTAAATAATTAATGGAACAAGCTGTGGATCATTATTGAGAAATTTGAGTTATTTCTTTAATAGTTCTAGTTGAACTCAGTGAATCCTCAGACTGAGGAACACCACACAGTATAGTTTAGAATGAGTTAATTATCTGACGTCTTTATAAGGATACCAGAATAAAATTTTAATAAGAGTCCTTAAAATAATCAAGACCTTTCTATACCTAACATACTGAATTGTTGCTACTTTCAGAAAGTTATCAAGTATTTTGGATTCCTTCCTATTTCAAAGTTATCTTACTGAAGATATAGTTTTACATAAAATATGCTGCTAAGGAAAGTAAATTTGCAAATTTGTATACTTTTTAAAAGTCAGAAGATCATAAACCTAGCAGTAAAGAAACTTAATATCTTATTTCGTTCACTTTTCACATTTTAACTTGTCTTTAGCCAGTCACTCTTTTATCTCATGACAGCAAAAAAGGGAGTATTAGAGGAAGGATTTGTGAAAGCCACAAATCTTAATATTTGTATAGTCTGGTTCAAACGTTGACCTTTTGTAACATCTCGCCTAAGAGTGTAACCAGAGCTTTGAATTTCCTTGTATCAACTTGCTGCCAACAATGGGAGATTTAACTCAACATGGGTAGACTATATAGAGCTATCTAAGAACATAAGAGCGGCCATATTTGATTAGACCAAAAGTTCATGTAACCCAGTATCCTGTCTACTTAAAGTGGCTATTGCCAGGTGTCCCAGAGGGAATGAACAGAACGGGTAATCATCAAGTCATCCTACTCCTGTTACCCATTCCCAAACAGCGGCTAGAGGCACCATTCCTACTCATCCTGGCTAATAACCATTGATGGACTTATCCTTCATGAATGTATCTAGTTCTGTTTTGAACTCTGTTAAAGTCCTGATCTTCACAACATCTTCTGGGAAGGAGTTCCACAGGTTGATTGTACTTTGCGTAAAGAAAAACTTCCTTTTGTTTGTTTTGAACCTGCTACCCATTAATTTCATTTGGTGTCCTCTAGTTCTTCTATTATGGGAACTAATAAATAACTTTTCCTTATTTACTTTCTTCACAACAGTCATGATTTTATAGACCTCTGTCATATACCCCTTTGTTCCCTTCATTTGTTCCCTTCATTTCTTCTTTTCTAAGTTAAAAAATTCCAGTCTTTTTAATCTCTCTTCGTATAGCAGTTCTAATAATTTTTGTTGCCCTTTTCTGAACTTTTCCCAATACTAAGATATCTTTTTTGAGATAAGGCAACCACATCTGTATGCAGTATTCAAGATGTGGGTGTATCATGGATTTATACAAAAACAATAATATATTCTCTATCTTATTCTTTATCACTTTTTTTAATGATTCCTAACATTCCGTTTGCTTTTTTGACTGCTGCTGCACATTGAGTGAATGTTTTCAGATAACTATCCACAGTGACTCCAAGATCTCTCTCTTTAGTGATAATAGCTAATTTAGAGCTCATCATTTTGTACATATACTTGGGATTATGTTTTCTAATATGTATTACTTTGCATCAACATTAAAATTCATTTACCATTTTGTTGCCTAGTCACCTACTTTTGTGAGATCCTTTTGAAACTTGTTACAGTCTGTTTTGGACTTAACTATCTTCAGCAGTTCAGTATCCTCTGCAAATTTTGCCACCTTACTGTTTACCTCTTTCTCCAGATCATTTATGAATATGTTGAATAGGATTGGTCTAGTATGGATCCCTGTAGAACACCTTATACTTTGAAAATGGCATTTCATTGGTAACATTTAACTCTCAATAAAACAGTATATACAAAGTAGTCATACTTTAAAAACATCTTGTTTTGAAAGATTCCGTCAGTTTGTGTAAGCTTCTTTATACTTGTAATTGAAGATACTGGTAGAACTGATAATATGTCTCAAACATATACAGTAAAAGCTCTGTTATCTGACATGTTGGGTGTATGGTGGAGGGCAGTACCATTACTTGAGTATTCTGGTTAACTGAGGGTTAAACTTTACTAATGGAATACCATTTTCAAATAATTAGAATATAATAAAATGAATACAGTATAAAATATATAGTATACAGGTACTCACTAATCCAGCAGAAGAACTGCACTGCAGAATGGTTAGTTTCTTAGGTATATACAGGTTACATTTTCTATACAATAGGTTATTTTTGACACTACAGACCATGATGGGTAACACATGATGTATACCCAGGTCACTTAAAAATACTCTTAACATTAGAATTGTACTGAACATAATTTTATCTTTCTTCTATGATTCAGAAGGCACTTATGGATCTTGTAGTGCCTCAGGGTCATCATTATCAACATTGATTATCATTATAAATGTAGAAGGTATAGGAGATTAGTCTGAATCTGTAATGACCCTATGACACACCATGGAACCTGTTTTTTTAGTTAGTTGCTAATTTCAGCTTGCTTACTTGTCTTCTGCTTCTTTTGCATAAAAATACAATGCAGAATCAGCAAATGCATAATGGGCTAAACAATATACTAGTCCTGGTTACTAGAATGAAGATTTGTATTGGGAGATATCAGGAATGGCAGATAATTGAGTTTTCTAGTTAATTGAATGTCGGATAACAGCTTTTACTGTAGAAATCTTTGAAATTTGATTACTGTATGTATATGATAAGAATTTTGTGACTTGCTTTGTGTTCCTAAGTCACTTAAGTGTATTTCGAAAATCCCAACTTTTATGTTTAAACTTATATTGTCAAATTTTGCAGTAACTAACATGCATAACTGTAAGTTACATAGGTTCTGTTAAGCTTTGTGTTTATACCATATTTTTATCTATGGGGCTGTTACTCAATGGGCATTTGAGTATTACTGCAATACAAATAGTAAATATTAACCATCATTTTGCATTCTACTATTAAAGAGTACTACATAAATTTTGTCAAGTAAAATACATGTTCTATGTCACTAGTTTTTACTAATTTTTCCTTATATAATCAGCTGCAGGTATTTGGAAATGAATATTACCAGATATTCATTTTAACTTTTTTCAATCTTTCTTTTATATTTTAGTATATCTGCAGAGTCACAGCAAAACTCTAAAGATGTCATGCAAAAAATGACACAAACTGAAAGTTTTTATCAACAACGTCCAGAGAGGTTAATAGAGGTACTGTATAATTCAACTTGCCTAACAATAATACTATGTGTTTTCAGCATTATTTAAGTAATTTGGAATATAAATAGTTACACATCAGCAATACATCATTGAAATATGGGAATAATGTTTTGGAGTAATAATGATGATAATCTCAATAGTTATATCATATATTTGGCAGTGAAATATAAACATGAGTTCAGCCCATACTCAAGAAACAAAAGAAAATCTGATTTTTATAAAAATTTAGGAAAGCAAATATGTGTGTCATAAAATTATGATGAGCGATAATCTTAGGTTTCTTTCATTTAAAAAAAAGTTTTTATCGTCCCTAGTTGCAGAAGAAAGCTGGAAATACAATTTTTAAAGACTCAAAAAGCAGATGGCAAATAAAAAAAACCACAATCCACTCTTAATATTTTGTTGACACCAGATTCATAATTTTTGAACTTTTGGTATTGGTAGTACTGTCTTTCAGGCTTATTTGTAAGACTCTATGACATAGTCATATTCCTTCTGTTCTTACCTGGTTTCTGTGCATCTGCGGGTGTAAACAGTGGTGGAAAACTGAACCACTGCTTAATCATTTTGGAGCCAGTGAGGGAAATTCCATTCCCCAACTCTTTTTTTTTCCATTGACCAAGATTACTTCAACCAATTTATGGGTAACCTTAAGGGACAAAAAGGGTAAGAAGATTCAGTATCCTTGCTAAAATTTGTAGAATTGAGAAAGTAAAAGCAAGAAAGCATGAATTAATATTTCATATTTGTTTTCTTACAGTTTCCTAGCGAAATGGAATCAAAAGGTGATAATGACGTTATTCAGCTGTTGGACAAACAGTACCAAGAAAGATTAGAAGAAGAAATAGCTAAGGTATATCTTTGTAGTAACAACTTTTTAAACATGTATAATGTGGTTTTATTTACTGTTTGTTACTATTCATAAAATTAAAAAAGAAATATATTACTATAGTTGTATTTATGTTCATGAAATTATTCTGAATCTGAACTTTAAAGAATATTTCAAAGCATGTAGGGAAGACTGTGCTTTTGACACAAGCTAAATGTAATAAGAAGGCCCATACTAATCTGCTTTATTTTTCTTTTCTCATTCATTCCCATAGGATATGCTAGTTAAATCTTTTATTTTCTTAACTAATACCCATCTTCCAGGGATCTTTCCCCTAAAATCCTCTGTATAGCCCTTTCAAAATCTTCTCTGTAAAGGAAAAGAGCAACTTAATCAGTCTAATCCAATTTTTAAAGGAGTATCTGATTACAGTTGATTGGAAGCTTAGCTAAATTTAGAAGGGTTGGGCTGCTTACCTGGTTTGTTCCATTTTTATTATTTTTTACTTTATGAAAAAAGTAAACAGATTTACATTTCTATGTGTATGTATTTATGCAATGTGTATACATTTTTCCCTTGTGGACTAAATGATTGTATTGTCATTAGAGAGATAGGTGGATAAAGTAATATCTTTTATTGGACCAACTTCTGATGGTAGAAGAGAAATAAGCTCTCTTCTTCAGGTCTGCGAAAGATACTCCAAGCATCACAGCTAAAGGAAAGGCGGAGCAGATTGTTCAGCATAAGTAGAACACTACAAATCCATGGTTATGGATCCGGTTATATTGTTTACCATACAAGGCTAAGCCCCAACACTCCTTGGCTTCACAGGACGTAAGCCTCGGCACCGACTTACTCCTTTGAGTCTGTCAGCTCACACATGCAGGGAGGCTACGGCTCCAGCTGCAGTGCTCAATGTGTAGTGGGGCTTGCCAAGGCTAAGCCCCAGTATTTCTTTCATTACAAATTAAACGCTTTGGGCAGGGCTCTCACATTGAGATAGGGTAAGGGTGCTGTGTGGATGCAATTATTAGTCAAAGTTGGAATGCAGATCCCAGGTGAGATACAAATAATTATCACCCATGCAGATTGGATGTGGAAATGTTTGTATCCCCGTAGGGCTCTTAGTATAAGTAGTTAGAGCATATTCTAATGGACCATTCAGGATAAAAAGAGGAGTCTTGTGGCACCTTAAATACTAACAGATTTATTTGGGCATAGCCTTTCATGGGCAAAGACCAGTCCAGATGCTTCATTCTGACAAAGTAGGTTTTTGTCCACGAAAGCTTATGCCTAAATAGTCTTTAAGGTGTCATAGAACTCCTTGTTGTATGTACCTTGAATAGTTCCTTAGAGGACTCTATTGTTTTTGCATATATAGACTAACAGGGCTAACCCTCACATATATATATTCAGGATACAATGACCCATAAATACCGTATATTCCGGCATACAAGATGACCTCTGAAGTTAAAAAACATCCCCCAAAAATCGGGGGTCGTCTTGTACGCCGGATGCCCCGCCGCCGGAGCCCCTCCGCGGCTTTGAAAGCCTGGGGGAAGCCAGCGGCAGGGCATCCCAGGCGCGCACGGGCTGCCCGCCCGCCGGAGCCCCTCCGCGGCTTTGGCGGCGGGGCATCCCAGGCGCGCATGG